AGATTCTCTCCCCTCAACTCCTATCTTTTTCTGGATGAATATCCCACATGGGTCCTTGCCTACCTAGTCTTCTCCCCCAAAGGTTCATATCCATCTTAAAACGAGGGGCCTGGATTTGGCCACGATGTCCCCGCTGAGGTCAGGGGGCAACCCTGCTCTGGGCACAACTCTCTCGTTCACGCAGCTCGGTACTGTATTTATTGAAAACAAATGCTGGCTCATCAGGCTCTGCAACTAGCCAACCCCCTGCGGCTTTTCCATGATTCCAGGCGTCTTCCATTTTCTCCTGATGCGATTTTTTTGGGGGGGAGGCTAAGTGCAGGAATTAAGCTTATCTTTATTACATTTCATCTCATTATTTCTGTCCCATCTCCCTAGCCTGTCAAGATGCTTTTGAAGTGTTTTTCATCATCCAGCTCAGGAAGCCTTCCCTCTCAGCTGTGTGTCATTTGCAAACATAATGAACATTCCATTTGTGTCTTTAACCAAGGCACTGATGGTAATGTTGGGGGAAAAAAAAACCCCATCAGCAAACAGAAGACCCTGTCCCAGGCCTCCTATATGTTTCTCTCCCTTGACTTAAAGATTTTTTGAGAGACTATGAAATCTGCTGCTGAAAATTACCTACATAGTCAGTGGCATCACTCAGCTAGTAAATGATTTAAAAAAACGGACACGAGTAGGTCTGGGGAAATTTTTACTCTGTGAGGTTTTGCGCGTTGCCAGTGTCCTTGACTCTCTTCTTGTAGGACTTGGACGTGTAACAACCCATTCTAAAATTCTGAGGTGGGTTGACAGTGATCACATTTTTCTTTCTAGAATAAATTCCCTCCATCCCCTTTAGGAAGATCACGCTTGTCCTTGATTAGATAGCTTTTCTTCCATCCCTTTTTATGTGTCCTTTTTCAAGCAGCACTCATCAAAGAGCTCGTGTGACGGCATATTATTTATTTAGATCCATCTGCTTTCCTTCTATCGTGAAATCAGTTTCTGATCAGCAGCTGACCCAGCTAAGCAACACCTTGGGCAGCGATCTCTAGTGGGTGTCAAAGCTCACTGGAGCGGGTGAGAGCGCTGTCTGAGGTTCGGTCCGTCTTTACAGGTGAATATTTACATGGCTGCTGAGTGCACATGGATGGTTTCTCACTAAAACATAGGCCACTTTCAAAGGGAAATGTAAAAATACTTCTCGCCAATCCTGCTCCTCCTAAGTGATCCAGCTGTAAGAAACACTGGCTGAAACAGGTGGCCATGCCCCCCCCAGGCGCCCACAGGACTTTCCGGTCCCCACTGTGACTCCTCTGATTGTAGGAACAGGATTTACTTCCGGGTGTCGGGCTTCTCCCTAGTTTCTCCATCGCTCTGGAAGATGCGGGGTCACCAGGAAGCAGGGCCTCGCTCTTGGTACCACATGTCTCTCCGTCCAAGTCCCAGCTCACCGACGACTACCTGCGGGGCGTGGAGCTGGCGGTTCTCTGCCGGTGGCACCATGGCCCTCCTGCGAGACGCCGGGCAGTGGTTGGAGATATTTTTGGTTGTCACACTGGGGAGGAGAGTGCTACTTGCATCTAGTGGGTAGAGGCCATGGATGTGGCTTGGCACCCTACAATGCACGGGACAGTACCCCCCACCCCTAGCAACAAAGACCTATTTGACCCCTAGAGTTAAGGGCACGGCTTTAGGAAAACCACTTTGGCTTTGGAGTCTTGGTTCCGTCTTCCAGTCAGTGAGAATGCCAGCAGCCCAGGGCGGGGTTGTGCGCACTGTGGAGACCACTGTGCCTAACAGCACCCCCACAATCACCAGCATGGAGCCTGCGTCAAAACCGGTGCTTATTTTCTTTATTTATGACCTAGATATCGTGTTGGATACTTCCTAAGATGTTACTAGCTTACTACTGAAAGAGTAATGCATTTACTCCACAGATATTTTTTGAGCACTTACAACGTGCTAGGCTATACAGCATATATGCTAGGTGAGTCTGCAAATGGAGTAGTTTAAAATGAAATAAGAAAAAAAAACACACTCCAGTTCAGGGAGATAACAACCTGCAAGTAGGCGTTTGTGTCCTCAGAGAACCCAGGCTCTGAGGGGTTCAAGTAACGTGCCCAAGAGTTCCCACTAACGAGAGGCAGAGCCTGGATTCGAGTACCACCAGCTGGTTGGGTCTGAGTGTGTGTGTCTCCCCCAACCCACAGGCTGAAATCCTGACCCCGGGCGGGGGCGAGGCGGGCAGTGGTGCTGATGCTGGGACAAGGGGCCGGTGGGAGGCCATTAGGTCATGGGGGCGGAGCTCTCGTGCATGGAGCCGGTGTGCTGAGAAGGGAGGTGAGAGCTCGCTCCCCCTCCACCGTGCAAGCGCACAAGGAGAAGGCGGCTGTCTGCCAGCTGGGAAGCAGGTCCCCGGGCACCAGATCTACTTGGTCTTGGATTCCCCGGCCTCCAGGCTGCGAGTGATGAATTCCTGCTCTTTAAGCCACCAGCTGGGGCCTCCCGTGAGAGCAGCTCAAGACGCCAGGTCTGCCTGATTCCAAGGCCTATGCTCTCTTGACTCAGTGACAGCCACACACCTGCTTTGAGGAAAGCCGGGCTGTGAGACACGTGGGCAGTGCAGAGCTCCCCCAGGGCGGACTCTCTTGACTGTTTTAGTGTCACCGTCTGCAGCCTCTCTCTCCGCATTACGCCTCCACGATAATCGTGTTGTTTCTTCCCCCTTTTAGTCTTTAGTGATTCGACAAATACTCATTTGCCCCTTGTTAGCAGACGGGACGATGAGACGCTGTCTTGGTCTGCAGGGAGCGCGTGGGCTGGTGCAGGCGAGTCCGTCACTGCTCGATGTCATTGTTTGGGGACCCGCAGCAGCACGCTAACGCACTCTCGTGTGCACGATGCCACGTCCACCGCTGGCCTGCGGACCTGCTCACGTGCTTACGTGTCCTTGCATGCCTCACCACCCTGTGCACAGGGAGTGCGTGTGCACGGCGCGGTTTCCCGCTGGCGTGCAGAACACCCTGGGTGTCACACGCTCACACCTGAGCCTGCGGTTGTGCTTTCGGCTTGGCACAGCTTCGCAGCGCAGTAAACTCTTAGAAACAGGGGACATTGCCTGTCTGATGTCGCTTGCTTAGGACCTTGGCGGTCCAAGCCGCACTGCATGTTGTGTTTGCACAAGTATGAATTTCACCACGCGGTGTGACATGCTGATGAAGCAGAGTGTCATTTACAGCGAGGGAGCCTAGCACCCCCGGCCCCGCCGCCTGACTGGGCTTCGTGACTTTCAGGAACCAGCACAGCCCAGTGTTTCAGGTGTGTTCACGTGGGCGTTACTCCAGGTAAGCCACGGTGTGATGTCTTTCTGAGTGTCCTAGCGTCACAGTGTAGAGCTTGATGGGGTTACTATGGCCATGAAAAAGGCCTTAAAATTTTCAAGAATTCTTGACTGAACTGTGGGAATGCTTATGGTGGCATGTTGACACCTACCGCTGCCTCAGGACGTGCGCCTTGTGAAGCCAGGCCTCCACTGCTGCGAACAGACACTTCCTGTTGCTAATTAGTGACATCAGTTGACTTCCAGCTGCCGCCCTCCTGGACCTTGACCCCTAATGACCTGCTCTTTTGACCTGCCTCAGACCGTGGACTCTGGTTGAAGGGACCTAGCTTCGCGTGCGGCCCCACCACATAGTGGTTGAGTAACTTCGGTATTGACCTCCTTCAGCTTCGGTCTCCTGTCAAATGAGGGTGACCATCGTAGGTCTTGCTTCATTGGACTGTTGTTACATTTAGTTTTCATGCTTATATGTGTAAAATGTTTCGCACGAAACCCAAAACATAGTGGGCGGTCAGTGAGGTGTGGCCACCATTCCTTGTCCCCTTCCACCTACTGACTGGCTGCTGTCCCCACGCCCCTTTCTTCCGTGGCCTCCCGTAAGGCTCTGCCTGCCTGCCGTCTTGCCGGGGTGGCCCTGGTTCTCCGCCCGGGAGTCCTCTTTGCTCTTGGCCTCTCTCTGGTGTGAGGAGCAGGGCTCATCCCTCAGCTGGCCGACCTCCTCTGCCAAAGGCTTCCTTTCCTGTTTTTCTCTTTCCATTTCCAAGTCAATGATCCCAGGGACTGTAGCGCAATCACTGGGAGCACAGATGGAGGGTCTGACTGCCGGGGTTCGAGTTTGCGTCCCACCTATTAAGTAAGTGGCCTTGGGCAAGCTATCTAACCTCTCTGTGCCTCAGTTTTGCCTTCTGCAAAATGGAGGCAATAACCTTGATTATCTCATGGAATTGCTACGGAGATTAAATGAGTTCATACCTCCAAAGTGCCTAAAATGGAGCGGGGCCCGCAGGAAGCCCTGCGGAGTACATGTCGCTGTTCTTCCTATAACAGCCTGGGCCTCCTGCTCTCACGTCTGCTCCTCCCACCCCCGTGGACACAGAGCCGCCCCTGCTTGGCCAGCACCTCGTCCACCCTCTTACTGTTTCCATTGTGGGTTTGTGATATACATCTCAGAGTAAAAAAAATCTATTGGCTTTACCTTAATCACTTAAAAATACTTAGTCAATCATATCAATATTTTAGCCTAGATTGCATTGATCGATCGTAAAGAAAAGGGCAAGTATGACTCATAAAATCATAATCACACACAGGGGAGGCCGTTCTGTGACAACTTTCCGATTTCTATTGGCCTTCTAATTTGCAAACAGTATCAGGTGAGCTACTCTCAGGAACGAGAGGAAGAAAAAATCAGGTTGATATGCTTAGAATAAGAAAAAGTTAAATGAACTATTAAGCAGGCAGAGGTCTTTAAGAAACCAACAAGCGAATTCCACCAAATGAAGCCAGGAGCAGATACTGGCTGTTACTCGTGTTTGAGTTTACGTCACACACGGAATAACACCGGTCCCAATGTCGTTGCTGGCTCAGATGCCCCGACCACCGAGCACAACCTGCTTCCGAGGTTAATTAGCAGCGTTAGAATACAGGCTGTGAGCAACCTGCCCCACGTTCTTACCTATAACTTTTCCCAGGAAGAGCGACTTGGGAGAGTTGAACAGCGTGTCAGACGAACTCGGTAGGTGGTAGCTCACGGAGGGATAATGATCAAGCTGCAGGAAGAAAGCGAGAGTCACTTTTAGAAAGACGTCCCTGTCCTGCTCCGGGATCAAATTCTCTGGGGGCGGGGATGGCAGCACTCTCGGAACCTTGGTTTCAGGATATCTTATTTCATCAGAGGCTCCAGCCCGAGGAAACGGGAAGTCTGAAAACAACGTGAACTTGGTTAGTGAAGACCGTTTATGAACAGCCCCTCGGTTTATGCGCATTTTCTGTGGGTCATTCACCTGCTGGATTAAGATGCCTATTCACTTTATTGGGGTGAAACCTGCTTGGTCCAATCTCCAGGACTGGCCTCTGAGGGAGAAAATGCTACAATCTCTAACAGTGAATTTTGCTTAGGATCCTCTTCCTGTCCTGCTTTCTTTATCTTTTTGTACTATCAGCTAATAGGCTGATATCGATCTTCAGAACATACACATATTCAAATATGAATGTAAGTATACTTTTTATATATGAATATATATCTTCAAACGCTAAGGTGCAGATTGGGTAAATATACATGGTGTTCTTAACAAAATGAGGGTAATTCCTCCCTCCTGCCTCGGGGCAGGGACATCGGTCCCCAGGAGCACAGCTGTTCGTTCAGAGCTGAGGGGCAGCGGAGGCCCGTGGGAACAGCCACACCAACGCTGTGGGAGCAATGCACAGGTCTGACTGTCCACACAAATAAAGCGCCCACGGGGTTGTCCCAGGATCCCAGGGCTTGTTCTCTGTGCCCCTACAGGGCTTCTCCTGCCTTCGCCGACTTCAAAAACAACCCAGCCCAGCTGTGTTTCCCAGTAGGTGAACTCCTGGAACTTTCTGGCCTTCTTTGTATCCATCTGTGAAAAACCTCTCTTGAAACCTTCCTTTCTCTGGAGTGAGTGCGAAGCCGCGGAGGTGAGTCTCAGGAAGGGTGGGCGCGGGAGAAACCCCGCCTCACTGCCTAGTGCGGGCTCCCATGAAAGCCGCGTGCAAGGAGCCACTTGCTGAAGCCAGCAGCGCAGAGGGTGCACTCCCAGGTGCTGGCTTGCAAGGGCCAAGGTGGGCAAAGCTGCAGGAAGCCTGCCTGCCTGGGGACCCGAGGGTGGCAGGAAAGAGTGGGAGGGAGGGGGGCGCATCTCCCTTCCCATGTTGACAACAAGCTGCTCTGCCCAACGATCTTAATTATTAATGACTACCTTCCCCTGGATCTTGACACTGTTTACTAGAAACCTAGAGGTCACTGGGAAAGTCAAGGTGAAGAATCAAAGAGTCATCGTCTACCACATCTCAAGAATTGGGGGAGTTTTGACCTGCAGAACTGTTCACTTTTCATGCCCTGGTGAGTATCTGGTAACAAAAGTCCAAAATAAACACCCTTAAAGCAAATACTGGCATGCTTGAGTATACTTTTGAAAAGTGTAAACAAAATTTCTAGTGCATCATTAACAAAACGCTTATTTTGTCTAGAGAATATTAAATATTTGAAATTTCATCAAGTTGTTTCCCTGGGGCAGAGGCAACTGGGTTTTTTGCTGCTAAATCTTTGGAGCTGCTTGGGCTCCATCTAGTGGCAAATATGGGTAACTGCTGCTGTCCCTCCACCCACTTCTAATAATACCTATTGTCAAAACACTAACCGCGAAAGGCCGATATAACTAATAGACGATTCCACAATGTTTCACAGTGATGATCTCCCCTTAAGTACTTCTGATAATTTAATCTATCCTGTTAAAGAACTTAAAATTGATACAAACAATATATGCTTATTACAGAAAAATAATATAGATTTGCAGGAAAAAAGCAGCTGGTGATAATGTTAATTTTTTAATGTACATTTCTTTCAGTTTTGGACACACTCCAACTACACACACTGTTTTGCATTTACTTTTCATTACTTAATGATGTTTTATAAAACTCCTTTTGTGTCAGTACATATAGGACTACAGCATCATTTGAGAAGAATGATCGGTCCTCCATGCTATGACTATATAGCACATGTTCTTTAAAAAATATCAAATGTCTATGTTTGGATTTCTAGATTTCTCGTGTCTTTGGGCCCAGTAAAGTGCTGAGCACGTAGTCGGTCCTCAGTAACAGTGTGTGGACATGTGTTAGCGCCGGCCTTCCCGCGGTGGGTTCGGCACTGAAGCCGGCCTTCGGGGGCAGCCAGACCCGCACGGCGGGAACACTTTCCTTTCCCTGAACGGTCCCTGCGGGTCCAGGCCGGACAGACCTGGCTTTCCGGAGGCCATTTTGTGGTCTTCGTACTGAGCTCACAGCAAAATCAAGTTCCTGGCTGGTCGCCAGACTGTTTTCAGCTCTTCTCCTTCCTCCCTTGATGTGGTTGGTGAACCAAAGACTAAAATGTACATGTATTCACATGAAAAAGTTTTTGAATCTTGATTCTGCTATCTAAGACATCCGTGACCCTGCCTGGTTTTCATTTACTTATAAACATCCCGAACACTCCTGGGTCTTCATTCGTTCATGAAGACATGAATTATAAAAACGGTGAATAGGAATCTACATGGGCAACTATATACAATTCTAATCCAAATTGCTCATTCTGTACAGAAACTCGTTTGTAACAATGACGATGAAGACTACGACAGATCCTGACGACAGGCAGAGTCTAGCCTTCAACATCCACAAGGATGAAGCCCTAGTGCGCGAGGAAACGCTGAATAAAGGGGGTTGTACTGGGGGCGGGGGTGGAGGTGAGCTGAGGGAAATCAGGAGTCTGGTCCACTGCTTCTTGCGCTCGTAGCCGAGAATCTGTGCTCCTTACCCATTCTGTCCGCAGCTCCTTCCTGCTTTGTACCCAAGGCGGGTGGGCGTGGGGCAGGGAGTGGGGTTGTGGGAAAGGCTGAGGTCAAATGCAGAGGATGGTGGGAAAGGGAAGGGCGGCTCTGGGACATGGCAGGTGTGATTAAATTTAGGACCTTGAGATAAGGAGAGTATCCTGGGTGGTCTGGGCCGAGCAGGGGACACAGGTGACTGCGTGAGGCTGAAAAAGGTGGGGCCTCGGGTGCTCCTCTCCGAGCTGCACGAGGGGCGGCCCTGAGACACCTGGGTGTCGGCACAGCGGTGCTGATTTTGGACATCTGGCCTCTAGATCGTGAAATAAACTGGTGGTGTGTTAAGCCCCTAAATTTGTTATAGCAGCAACAGAAAAATAATACAGGAAAGTTAAAAAAAAAAAAAAGGACCAGATGCCCGCTTCTCCCAGATCATTTCTCCAATGCCACGCTCGCCTTGCTCCAGCCTTCCTGGCTCCCAGGTAAAAATATTAAGAGTCCCAGTTGCTGCACTGGAAGGAAGCCCTGCTCTCTTGCCTCCTCCCGACAGGGCCCATCCCTGAAATAAGCTCTTCCCCATCGCTGTCCCGGGACGTGAGTCTATGTCAACAATCAAGTTATTGACTCTTGGCTCCCAGTGCGCCCTGCACTAGATGCTCTATGATAAATAAGCACGAATTCCTCTCCTCTCTTTTGAAGTGAGCACAGTGTTAAGCTTTCCCAGTAGAGGGCACTGGAGGGACATTGTAGGAGGAAGGGGCTTCTGGAAATTTCAGTGCCGGCTTGAAGGAGGGAGGCTGAGGCCTAGAGTATGAGGACGTCATGGCACACTGTGATCCCTGTGACCCTTCAGCCTGGTGACGAGCCCTCGCGACTGGAAATTGGAGCCCCATGTGGCCTATGCGCTCCAAAGGCTTCCTGCCTCCCCCTGCCCATGCACACACATGAGCACACAGACATACACACACATGCACTCGCACACACGGCTGCTCAACTCCTGCCTCTGCACCTGCACTCATGGCCCTGCAACCCCAGACCAGCCCCCCACCGCCCACACTAGACCCTCTCTGCTATCTGGGGGCGGGACCACCACCACCCTTCTGTGGTCCCCATGTGGGCGCGCCCCCGCTCAGCGGTGCCCCCAGGAGACACACAGAGGCTTCTTTAGGCCCCGGAGCTTCCCTTGATCACAGGTAATCCTTACACCTACCACCCCACGTTTAACCTACTGTGTGGTTTCTGTCTCCTGATCGGACCCAGCCAGGAAAAGAGGAAGCAAGTATTGAGCGACTACTGTGTGCAAAGTTTGTGCCAGGTTTTTCACGTCTTACTTAACAAGTACCGCATAGCAGTTCTCCACTTTACTGTACAAAAAGCGTCCAAAGCCAGAAAGGGAGTGAGCGGCAGGACCGGCGATATGGGCTACGCTGGCTACAAGGGACAGGCTCCAGCCCAGCTGGCTCCACCAGGGAGGGGGAGGGTCCGCTGCATGTGAAATAGTGACACTTAAATGCCAAAAGGCATTCACTCAGGTCAGGCAAGCTCAACCTGAAAAGCCTAAGGAGTGTCATGCTGTCATCTCATTTGCGTTGCCATGGTGAAGTATAATAATCTCAAGGTAATTTCTCTGGGGGCCCAGCGAGCTATGCTGCTGCATGTTTAGGGGACGGTCACCCCACTGGCAGCAGAGGCTGTAAGAGGCTCCTGAAAATTAAAGGCGTGAGCCTGTGTGCGCAGGACGCCCTGAATGGAACTCTGCTGTGCTCAACAGACGCTGTGAAGTCATTAAAGCGGAGGATCAGCCTGGGCTGCCTCCTGCACCCTGAGGGCTCCGATGTCTGCAGTACTGTGTGATTTCAGTTCATTTCCTCCTTTAAGCCACAGCTGGCCTTGGTAGTGTTCGAGAGGACTTCATCAGCCTGGGTACATGTCCGGGTGAGATGGAGAAAGTGGGGAAGGAACAGAGAAGAAAGACCCAAGCAGCAAGGGGGACGTGGCCTGATGCTTCTTGAAAAGAGACGATCTCTGCTACAGAACAGTTGGCTCTCTAGAAAAACCCACAGCCGAGCAACTTCGGGTTTCACGCAATGCTTTTAACGGGCTTGAAGGTGTTGTTCTTCCAGCCTTGACACGTCCCACCGTCCAGGACACATCCGGGGTGACGAGAACTTCTGCGGTGGGGAGGAAGGGGCCCGCTGTGGTAGGCGGGCGTCCTTCCGCTCCTCTGA